ATGCCGCCATGACACTTCTTGTTAGCGACCTGCCCTCAGCCTCCTCAGGTAGCCACCCCCGTACCGCCATGACACTTCTTGCATGCCAACACCCACGCATCTCTTGCACAACGACAATGCCCACAAGAAGCCGCTGAAGGAGCGCGCCAAACTCGATGGACGCTGGCCATATGACGTCACTTCCGCTGCAGAAACGGCCTATTATATCTACTCCTACAACTTTGTTTTTCATTAAGCCCTTAACTTAAGAGATATTCAATTTGTTTAAAGTAGCAGAATTTACTGTAATTTGAAAAAAATATATCTAAACATTCACTGTAATTTTTATATAATCCAGGTAATTTTTCCCAATTTAGTAAAAAAACAAAACATATATTTTTTATTTTAACAAAATTGCACCAACATTTTGCAAAAAATTATCACTTCATTTTTAGTTAAGAAATAAATCTAGTTCGAACTATGTATAGCAAATTAATAACCACTTTCGTCCATTACAGCTGTCCTACTGGGTATTTTTATTACGTTTATCTAATTTGTATGTTTAGTGTTATATGTGTAATATTTCGATATAAGCGGCCAATAATGAACAATTTCAATTATTTTAACAGAACAGGGTAGGAAAAATGATAAAATGAGGCATGTTTTACCATCAAAAGACATTTTAATGATACAGATATCTGCTATAGTCTTACTTTCATTCGCGACAAAATGAAATGATGAATATATTCACCACAGTCAAATTAATTTTAAATTTCTTAGTGACGCCACTGACTTTACACGCAAATGTCCAACTTTAGCAATTATAGAGGGTTTTTGAATACTCGTTAAGTCAAGTCAAAATTGAACTAAATAAAAAAATACTTTTTTTTTCTTTAACTTAAATAGTTTGTACCTTTACAGGTTCCAACTAGACCCGCATGATAAAAGTTTATTTGCTGACATTGTTTTATCCCCGAGATTTTTACCACCAATCCTGGGACACCCCGTATATGTGTCTGCGAATATTAGACTAAAGGTCACTTGAAGACCTCAACAATGGCATAACGTCCGGCTTTGATCAACCCGATACGGCCGCCACAGCATAAGAATGGCGCTACATCTATCCTCTATATTTTCTAGACCCTTCTATATTACTCCCGTGGACCGTAAATATGACAAAGACAAAGCGGGTCGTAGTAGCGCAAGTAGAGGGATACGGCGACTAATTATTTGGAGGATCACTTTTGTAAAAAATCCACCAATCTCCTGCTTCATTGAACGAAAATGGCGGCGGCGCTCTTGAAAACCGTAATGAATATCTGAGCCCCCGCCATGAAATAGGGGCCATAAAGCCATAGTTTATTGCGGGGTTTTATAGTTCTCTATTATCTGGATATAATAAATATATATATTACAGATGTGCCGTTGTAAAATATTTGTTACACGTTACACAAACAAATAGGGGGTTAATCTGCAAAGTATACATTTTGTTGTACATTTCAGCAGCGGCTAATACTGGAAATAATTGATACTGCAAGTAAATAGGTCTGTTAGGATGAATAAAATACATGGGTTGTTGGTTCGATAATGTTTTAATTTTGTTTTACCTAATGTATGATTCTAAACAATTTTCATTAATTCAAAACGTACAGTAGCAACACACAATATTGAAAAGTATTGCTCTATTGTGGCAGCAAACATGTGATGAATACGATTTTTTAACACAGTGCAATCCGGACATAAACAAATGTATTAGACGTCCCATTCAAAAGTGTAGTGAAAACTTAATTTCGCCTAAACGCAGTTTAAGCGCACTAATGCAGTACCTGTTTCATGAAGAGGCTGTCCTATGATCTGTTCATATGGAAATCGTACTAACAATCCAAAATATCATCTTTTACATATACCTAGTTAAAATACTCAATGTTCAAAAACTGAGAATCCAATTTCTTTGGTTCCAACAGAAAATGTACCAGATGTACCATTCGAAAATACAGTGAAAAGTTTATTTTCATCCAAAATTACACTATTAGCAATCGAATGCAAGAACTACCCCATAAACAAGATGTTTTAAAAAGTAGGCCGCATTTTGACGATAAGATATCATTATTAATTTACTTTGAAAATGAAAAGAACACCGAACAACCTCAAAATATCATTTATTATAGTATTTTATACTATATTCAATAACTACGGCTAAGTCTTAGTATACACTGCTCCGAAGTTGCGCTGTTGTGAATCAGAATCCAATTTTTTTTAGGACTTAATGTGATCCTAACACAGAATACATCAGACGTCTCATTCGAAAGTGTGCTGAAAACTTAATTCGTTAAAAAATGCACTTTTAGTGAATGAAATGCAACAACTGCTATTTGGGGACGGTATTTTAGAAATTAGGCTGCACCTTGAAGTAACTATCTTACGATTCCTATTCATTTACTGACAATATCAAAATATTCTCCATTATAACATGGTTGACATGTTATTCAGGAATTACAAACACAAAATATATTAGGTGTCTCATTCGAAAGTGTAGTTAAGACTTTATTCCGTCCAAAATTGCACTTTTAGTAATAGAATGCAAAAATTATTATAGTCCAGGCGATAAAGCAGTAAAAGTAGGCTTTGGCGTTTGTGTTTGAAGTCATCTATTTTGTTGTATATGAATATGCTAGGGAAAAGATGTTTGAAAAAGAATGTACTAAGAGTTTTGCGGCGACTTTGTTGCCCTTACCTTTGAGGGTTTCCCTATGTTGGCTCACTCGCTTGCAGCAGGAACTAGCACCCTTGCATCAATTTTGTGTATCACTTATATGTACCATTAGTCCAAATTTGAGATCTCAGTTGCGTATAGTTGCGTACTGTCTTGGTCAAAGCTCTTTCACATACACACTTTTTAAAGTTGAATGTAGACTCTTCTCCCCCTCATCGAGTCTTTTTCCCCACCCTCGGTTAGAGGACAAGGACAACATGAAATTAAATCGCGGAACGCGCGGTGATTTAAATAAAAAATAAATTAAGAGAGAAACGCAAACATTCCGCCCACCAAAAATAAAATGTTATTTTTGTTTTAGATACAATGCATTTTTATCTAACAAAATAAACAAAAAAAATACTACTGGGAAGGTAGAGGACACAACTTTATGATAGGTCTGTCCATTAAACCGTTAAGAGTTTTCACTTGCGCAACACGAGGTATGTTATCACGACCAGGATATAATTTTACAATACGTCCTAAAACCCAATGTAGAGGCATGGTTGATTCGTTTTTAATTAAGACTAAACTTCCTACAGGAGGACATGATGTAGCGGAAGTCCATTTCGTACGTTGCTGTAATGTATGGAGATACTCCTCGTGCCATCTGCGCCAAAAATCCTGATGGAATTTCTGCAGTAATTGCCATCGAGTTAGTCGGTTAAGTTTTACCAAAGTGAAGTCTCTTTCGGGAGGTGCACATAATGGTTCTAATGTAAGGAAATGGCCTGGTGTAAGAGCCGACAAATCATTGGGGTCAGTACTTAAACTACATAATGGCCTAGAGTTCAACACGGCCTCAATTTGAGTAAGTACGGTTGAGAGCTCTTCGAAGGTTAGTATTTGATCACCTACCACTCGACGAAGATGAGTTTTCACAGACTTAACGCCGGCCTCCCAGAGGCCACCGAAATGGGGAGCTGAAGGCGGATTGAAATGCCATTTAATACCGAGCGTTTCAGAGGCTTGTTGCATACAAGAAAGAAGTAATTTATTGGCACCGACGAAATTTGTTCCACAATCACTATAAAGATCTCCACATCGACCTCGTCGGGCAATAAATCGCCGGAGTGCGGCCAAGAATGCCTCAGCAGAAAGATCAGATACGAGTTCGAGATGAAGGGCTTTGATGGCAAAACACACAAACACGCAGATGTAGGCTTTCATCCTTTTAGCACCACGAGTTTTACCCAAGGTGATAAACAAGGGACCAGCAAAGTCAACACCACAATGGGAGAAAGGTTTGACTTGGGACACTCTACATGGAGGCAAATCGCCCATAAGAGGGGTAGTTACACAAGGTTTGACCCGGAAACATCTATTGCATTTGGATAGAATGTGATGTATAGCCCGTCTAGGCGATAAGATCCAGAATTGCTGACAAATTAAATTTTGAAGAGTGCGAGGACCTGGATGTAGATTACCTTGATGGAAATGAATTATTATCAAATCAGTGAGTCGGTGGGAGCGAGGCAATAACATGGGATGTTTAGCATTGAAAGAAATTGAGGAATGACGTAGACGTCCACCAACTCGGATCACACCTTCCGGATCTATGAATGGAGCTAGTTTTCGCAAAGGTTTTGAGACCTGTTTACCATCTTGGAGGGCAACATATTCCTTGTCAAAGGTTTGCCTTTGAACACATCGAACAATAGTCACTAACGCGTGATACAATTCCACGTCGATGAAGGCACCATTTTCACCTGATTTTTTCTTGATGAGACGATCAATAAATCTTTGGCAATATGCCACGATCCGTTGAATTTTAGACAATGAAGAAAATTTCTCTAAAAGTAAGTTAATCCAAACAAAGGGCTCAACTGAGGTCAAGAGGTTTATTTGACGTTCTTCACGAACAATTTCATCAGTGGGGTCGGTAACAGATAAAATGAAATCCTCAGGAAAGGTATGTGTTAATAACCATGGTGGACCCGCCCACCATAACGGATGTGAGACGAGAGCCCTTGGTAATAATCCACGAGACGCACAATCCGCGGGATTGTCTGTACTATTTATGTGGTGCCACACATTGGGCGCAACCTTGTCTTGGATGTGACTGACACGGTTGGCCACAAATGTCTTCCATCGATGGGGAGACGAACGTATCCACGACAAGACCACAGTGGAATCTGACCAAGCATATATCTTATCTATAGAAAGGTGTTTCGAATATGACTGTAACACAAAATCTAATAAATCGGAAACTAGGACGGCTGCACACAACTCCAAGCGTGGGATAGACACCCTCTTTAGCGGAGCTACCTTTGACTTGGCACACACAAAAGTGACGATAGGAGGTTTGCTCTTAGATGTTATCTGGCGTAAATATACCACAGCGGAAAAGGCAATGTTAGAGGCATCACAAAACCCATGCAATTCAGTTTGTGTCACATTATTCACAACCACACGACGAGGTATAGTAAGAGTAGATAAACACGGTAGTTCAGATTTGTAAGTGGACCAACTATGAAGAAACTCTGCAGGGGGAGGATCATCCCATCCTATTCCTTGACTCCAGAGACATTGTATTAAATGTTTTGCAAAAAGAGTCAATGGGGAAAGAAAACCCAACGGATCATAAATGCGGGCCACTTCAGACAGTATATGCCGCTTTGTACACGAACGATCAGTAGGTTCAACACGATAAGAAAAAGAATCTGTGACAGGACACCACTGTAACCCTAGAATTTTTAATGAGGTTTCCTTGTCTAAAGAATGAGGTTGCTGATTTGCAAGTGGGACAGACGACAATAAAGCAGAACAATTGCTTGCCCATTTGTGTAATTCAAATTTAGCACTGCTTAATAATGAAATTAGTTGCTGTTGTAGCTCACACACCTCCTCGACTGTATTGGCACCATCCAATACATCATCCACATAAATGTTAGATTCTAAAGCTTGCGCTGCTAAAGAATATTTGTCCTTTTCGTCATGGGCCAATTGCAGTAGGCAACGGATTGCTAAATAAGGACTGGAGGATACCCCGTACGTCACAGTTTGAAGACGATATTCTTCTATGGGATCGGATTTGGAAAATCTCCACAAAATTTTCTGATAACTCTGGTGAGAATCTACCACCCTAATTTGGCGGTACATTTGCCGAATATCGGCGACAAAAACAAATTCATGGACTCGAAATGATAGGAGTAAAGAAACGATGTCCCTTTGTAGTTTGGGACCTGTTAGTTGAGTGTCATTCAAAGATACACCATTGGACGACTTAGCGGAAGCATCAAAGACAACACGTAGCTTCTGAGAATGACCCTCATCTTTGATAACACTATGATGTGGTATAAAATAGTTTGGACTTTGATTATTGTCAACGGTGTCTTTTACCATATGACCCTGTTCCAGATAGTCCTTCATAAAATCTGAATAGGACCTATACAATGACGAATCCTTTTCCAACCTATTTTCCAAAGCCAAAAATCTACGCAATGCCATATTGTAAGAATCACCCAGAGAATGACAATTATCTTGGAAAGGTAAATGAACAATATATCGACCTGTCGTATCACGACGATGCGTTTCCACAAAGATTTGTTCGCACAACTCATCTGAGGGAGAATTTATGGTTTTTTCTGGGATTTGTTCCAATTCCCAGAATTTTCTCAATGTCACGTCTAAAGAATCGTTCACAGAAGTATGAAATGAATGTACGAGAGATTCAGAGTGGGTTGATGTTGGACCGATCAGCACCCAACCAAATATTGTATTAATGGCACTTGGTTCTCCTTGTTTCCCTTTAATGAGACCGGGTTTCAACACGCGAGCATATACATCGGCACCTAACAGGATATCTACAACACCCGAACCTCCACAGTCAGGATCGGCAAGAGAAAGATGGCTAATGGATTTTATACTTTGAAAATATTTCTTAGAAGATGGCACCGTGTTGCAAATATTTGGTATTACAATCATTTCGATTTCGAAGGCCGATGCGTTAGGCGGTTTCACCAAGCACTTTAACGTTCCCAATGTGGATGACGTCATTTGATTGACACCTTGAACGGATAAGGATGTCAAGGATTTTGGAAGGTCCAGACGATTAGCACAATCGGAAGTAATAAAACTTGCCTGACTACCTGAATCGAGAAGAGCACGACATTTTTTGTATTGCCCATCAGCACCTTGCACATGTATGATTGCTGTGGCAAGTAACACAGATTGTTTGAATGAAAAAAGACTAGTCATAACATTCACCGAACTAGAGCTAGGCTGATCGTTGCTAGTGGTAGGTGGGGTTTCCGAAGCCACAGCAGAAGTTCCAGAATCGAAAAAATGTAAAGTTGTGTGATGTCGCTTGTTACACTGCCTGCAATTAAACCTAGAAGAACAATTTGAAATCGAATGGGACACTGAAAGACAGTTGAAACATAATCTATTTTGTTTTACGAAAGAATGTCGATCGCGAACATCCAATGCCAAAAACTTCCTACAACTTGAAAGAAAATGATCTCGTTTACAATAGACACATGATGGGGTTGTATTAGTAGCAAAGGACGAAATTTGTCTAGAATTGGATCTCGAAATTATTTGTTTGTCAGAAGACACTCCTGTTTCCGATTTTCGCCAAGGTTTAGGTGGCTTTGCTATGGTTGCATTAGAAGTTAAAACTGTAGTCTCATAAGCCTTGCATCTTTCCTGTAAGAAGGAATACAAATCCTCAAATTTAGGTATTGTTGACCCACCAGATTTTATTTCGAAATCATTTCTCGTTTTGTTGTCTAATTTCTGAAGTAATAGATTTAATTTTGTAAAATCCCACATGTCTACTTCAAAAGTCTCAATAGCTGCTAAGTTTTCTGTAAACACGGATAAAAGATTTCTTAGTGCAGAAGCTGCGTTCCCACTGAAAGATTCTACATTGAAAATGCCTTGCCAATAACGCGTTAATAAGACCCGTTTGTCTTGATATCTATCTACTAATGATTTATAAGAAATTTCATAATTATCACTTGTAGTCGGTAACTTCCTTACAATGGTTAATGGTTCACCAGATAAATAAGAAATCAAATACTGAAAACGTTCGATATTAGACAAACTAACATTATCATGAATGAGTCTCTTATACGTATCATAAAAGACCGGCCACTTGTTTATATCCCCGTCAAATTTTGGTACCTCGATTTTAGGCAGTTTGACCTTGAAACACGATTCTGAATTATTTCGAACAGAATGTAAAGATACAACAGAACCCCTGTCTGAACTAACAGAGCTGCGATTGCTAGGTGGGAAAAGATCACGATAAATACCCTCTATTGAGTAATGCACGTCGTCAAATTCCCGTTGAATTTCATCCTGAATTTTCAAGTTTTCAGGGTCCACCATCGACACCATGTCCATCTGCAAAGCTTCAAATTTTGTCACGAGTTCACGCATACCTTGATATCTAAATTTGAAGTCAGTAACTTTTTCTGAATCAACACAAGCCGTCTGACCTAACTTGAGTAGATCCTTGACGCGAGTAAACACGTAGTGTCGTCTATTTTCAATTGCTTGCATAGTAGCCATTTTTGAGAATCGGACGCGGTTGACAAAATCACGAATGTAATAAAAACTGAATAGGTATTCCTATATTTGTGAAAACCCGATTGTAACACGAATCTGAATAGTACACAACGTTTTTGAAAACACGAAAAACACGATTATAACACGAATTTGAATTGTACACAACGTTTTTGAAAACACGAAAAACACGATTGTAACACGAATTTGAATTTTTGAATAATCCACAATGTTTGTAACACGAAAAACACGATTCTAACACGAAATATTCCACAATGTTTGTAAAATACGAAAAACACGATTCTAACACGAAACTGAATAATCCACAACTTTGTAGAAATATTTGTTATTATTGACAACGTCGCAATACAGAACTATAAGAAAAAATGTGGAATGTATAAACACAACGCGGACACGTGCGGCGAGCGCTGACCTTGAAATCGCCGGCTTGGTTTTGTACAAATGCAATGTATTTGCTTCTATATATTGAAAATTCACGAAAATTTGCAATTTGATTCTTGTGTGGGTGGACTGTATTATTTTAAGAGCTTTTCTAATACGGCTCGAAGGCCAAATGAATATGCTAGGGAAAAGATGTTTGAAAAAGAATGTACTAAGAGTTTTGCGGCGACTTTGTTGCCCTTACCTTTGAGGGTTTCCCTATGTTGGCTCACTCGCTTGCAGCAGGAACTAGCACCCTTGCATCAATTTTGTGTATCACTTATATGTACCATTAGTCCAAATTTGAGATCTCAGTTGCGTATAGTTGCGTACTGTCTTGGTCAAAGCTCTTTCACATACACACTTTTTAAAGTTGAATGTAGACTCTTCTCCCCCTCATCGAGTCTTTTTCCCCACCCTCGGTTAGAGGACAAGGACAACATGAAATTAAATCGCGGAACGCGCGGTGATTTAAATAAAAAATAAATTAAGAGAGAAACGCAAACAGTATAGAAAAATCGCAAGTATTATGTAGAATAAGAATTCGAGTTTGCCTATTCCAAAAAACCATTGCTAAATTAAGGGGAACAACAAACATACAAAAAAAAATGAAATATGACCCGTTTTTCAACATATTTTTCTCTGTAATATTGAAAGTTTATTGAGTTGTTTATTTGACGATTATCTATACGTTACAACAACTGCGAATCAAAAAGTTGAATTTTGCATTAACAATGGGGAAAAAATAGTAGAAAATCATATGTATGTATATTTGGAGCAATTTTTAAAATAAGTAAATATTTATAAATATTGATGGAACTTTGTGAACAAATAGTAAAACATATGTCAATTCTACCCTAAAAATTTTGCAACGATCGATCTCGTGGTTTTCGATTCACAGGATTGTTAATTAAGAAAATTTCAAAAAGTTTATCGCGTACCATGGGTTTAAATTAAGGTTTAGAAAGGGCACACAATTTGATAGAGATATTTGTTGTCATAATAATAAACAATGATCAATCCTAAAAATACCTATTTTTGCACTTTTATAACCATTTAGAATTTTTTTTAAATTTTTCTACATTTTACTCTATAAACAATTATTTATTGCCCAGGGAATTTTCTATACAATCGACAAAATCTTGCACACATAAAAACTACATCCTAACCCCTTGCTTTTTAGCCCAATATGACAGCATTCTACTGTGTACATTCTGAGATATCGAAGCGTAAAGTTAATAATAATTTATAGCTTACGTAATCGTAAAGTTAAGAAAAAAATATATGTTTTTATAGTTAACTGCAAGTATCTACTTTCAATATTTGTTTAGTGCATTTTCGGCAGATAAACTTATTGAAAAAAAAAATCAAGAAAGGTACCGTTGTCACTGGAATTTCTCGATAGAGCGGGAGTGGGGACGACTGAGAGCAGCTGCGCTGCCGCGCGCCGCATGAGTTTTCAAAGTGCGTATGCGCTATAAAAGATGACTTTTCTCGGGAGTGGTAACACTTATCAAGGCGATTTTTTTTTAATTTGATATGTATATATGTATTATATATATATGTCATATATTCATATATGTATATATGACATATATGAATATGTCGTCAAAAAACAACAAAATAAATAATTTTTGCAAGAATTTTGAGTTTAAAGAATTATGCCGCTTTCGCTTACTTTTAAAAAAATAGTTATATTATGGTAATGAAGTTTTATTAGTTTGTGTCTATCAATGCATTCCACGAAATTCACTTTTTAATAATTAAATTAAAAATATATATTTTCTTATTTTAATGATCTTTCTGTTTCAATTCATTGAAGTATAACAAATTATTGAGTTAAATTAATGATAGGAGGAAGTTGTTATTAAGAGGAAGAATGGTATTTGGCTAAAAAGCAAGGAGTTACGACGTAGTTTTTATGTGTGCAATTGCCCTGGGCAATAAATAATTTAAAATAAATTCTAAATGGTTATAAAAGTGTAAAAATAGGTATTTTTAGTATTGATCATTGTCTATTATGACAAGTATCTCTAAAAAAATGTGTACCCTTTCTAAACCTTAATTTAAACCCACGGCACGCGATAAACTTTTTGAAATTTTCTTAATTAACAATCCTGTCAATCGAAAACCACGCGATCGATCATTGCAAAATTTCTAGGGTAGAATTGACATGTTTTACTATTTGTTCACAAAATTTCATCAATATTTATAAATATTTACATATTTTAAAAATTACTCCAAATTTACATTTGATTTTCTACTATTTTTAGCCCATTGTTAACGCAAAATTCAATTTTTTGTTCGCAGTAACTTTATAGAAAATAGTTAAATAAACAAAAAGTAAAAAATGACGTTGATTTAGAGCTTACTTTCAATGTTACAGTAAAAAATATGTCGAAAAACGGGTCATTTTTCGTTCTTTTTGTATGTTTGTTGTTCCCCTGAATTTAGAATTGGTTTTTTGGAATAGGCAAACTCGGATTCTTATTCTACATAATATTTGGGATTTTTCTGTACAACAAAGTAGATGACTTTAAATACAAACGCCTTGAATGCTCTACTGCCTGGACTACTATATGAACAAGGTTTTTATAAAGTGGGCCGCATTTTAACGACAAATATCCAATGAGAATTATTTATTTACTTTGGAAATGGAAACCACATCGTCCAACGTCAAAATATCCTTTATTTTAACATATTTTGTATTTTATTCAGAAACTACAGCAAATCTAATTAATTCCAATTAATTAACCTAACCTAGAAACAACATGCATTGTTTAAAGATTTTCAGTTATGACTTAGAATCCGATTTTAGGACTTAATGTCCTAACACAAAATGTACTAGATGTCTCATTCGAAAGTATAATGCAAACTTAATTTCGTCCGAATCTACACTATTAAACAATAAAGTGCAAAAGCTGCTACATGAACAGGGTCTTTCAAAATATCCTCTATTGCAACGAGTTCGACATGTTATTCGATAACTAGGACAAATTCACTAATGAAAACCTAGTCACAACTCAAAATGCTCAAAGATTGCGCTGTTATGACTGAGAATCTCATTTTTTAGAACAGAAAGTCCCATTCGAAAGAGTAGTGAAAACTTTTTCCATTGTAAGTCGATTACAACTATTTTGACACGTTTTCGGTAACCACGGCAAATAAATGTTCCGTTCGAAAGTGTAGTAAAAACTTAATTCATCCAAAATTGCACTTCTAAGCAATCGAGTGCAAATTGAACCCGCACCTAACCTAACAGCACCGAAATACCCTCCGCTGCAACATGGTATTCGGTAACTACGGCAAGCTCCACTAATTGGAAACCTAGTAACAACACACAATGCTCAAAGGAGCGCGGCGTTCCATTACACAGAGATATAAATATATTAAGCAAATTGGTGATTATGCAAACGAAATCAATTACGTTAATGTCAATAATTAGAGCACGTCGGAGACCTGCTCGCAACGGAGAACTACACACGTAACGCAATAATCTCTCTCCTTTACAATGGGCGCACCATTCCGCCGTCGAGGATCGATCTGGGGGCAGCGATCATCACAGCCATCATCGGTATGCATGTGTGTGTTGGTGTATTTTACATAACTTTGTAATATCTGCCATTGATTGCGCTGCAAATCGGCAGGCATGTAGATGCATCGGGCATAATTTCAATGGCCCGCTTGATTGCGACCAACCATGGCGCTAATTAATAATTCCCCGTACAAAGGACGGCGTTGCGACGTTTCTGTTGTTATTGGGGTAAGCTGCGACGGTTACGGATTCGAAATGGAGGACGTTCCGGGTTAAACCCATTCCTAATAAGTTTACAAGCACCAGGATGTGTTCAACTCCCACATAGGTTTCACCGCCATGTTCTTAAATTGACGACAAATGAAGTAACTACTAAAAGAAGAAGAAAGCAAAGATAACACCAAAAATTGGCAAATTAACACTAGCTTATTGGTGTCATTTCTACATCGCTTTTATTTTGGTCAACAGATTTCCATTCACGTTCAGGAATTTTATTGGCTCCAGTAAATGTTTAATTTTATGAAGCATCCACATCATGCCTAAATCTATAACACCAGTAACAAGATCATCTATCCAGTTACTGAAGCATTTTGGCTACCTATTATTTCGGATGGAATGGATTGAGGTGAAATTTGAACTGTAGCTAGGGAATAGCCCAAGAAACAAAAGTTATATAGTGCTGATGTGTGCTTTTACCCTAGGGGTGGATGCCACCCCTTCTGGACGGTGGGAATTTTTTTATTAAAAATAACATCACGATTCGATAGAGGGACGAATTCTAAGCAAAAAATGTTCTATAAGATTTTTTTTGTACAGTCAATACTTTTTGAGTTATTTGCGCCTAACCATGTTCGTTTTTAGCCCCAAAAAATGCATGTTTTTGAGTCATTTTTCGCGAATATCTCAAAAACTACAAGTTTTATCAAAAAAATGATCATAAGCAAAAATGAAGGTAATTAAATAGCAAAGATATTGTTTTTTTATTTTTGTAGGTGGTATAGAACCCGAGTTATGATTCCCAGAGGTTGAA